CAGGATTCCCAATTCAATGCTGGGTGCCGGCGACATTCACCGAGCCGATGGAGCAATATACGGAGAACTATTGCTGGGTACAGAACACGTATTTCCTCCCATTGCACGACTACATCCCGCACAATTATGCCGAAAGGGAGAATAGACAAATCGGGTGAGCGAGTTTGGTAGATTCAAAGGGGTAGATCTTTCTGGGACACTCAGTTTTTCCATAACTCTCACTAGGTCGTAGTGACGTCGTAGTGACTAGGAAAGGTCGCTAGGTGGCCGTGACGAGACTGACCCCATCTTATAGAATCGATTAGATTAAAAAACTAAAGGAAATTGGCCAAAGAGGAGATCGAACCAGGGTGCTTTGGTTTTGGTTTTGGCAGTTGATGGTCAACAAGCGATGCTGGTTGGCTTCGTTGAACTTCGTTCGCTAGTTGGCGATGCTAGTTGGCTTCGTTGAACTCAAGCAAGGAGGGCTTAAACTTGTAACCCAGATATCTCAGGTTACATGCTTCAAGGGCAAAAACTGGAAAACAGATTCGGAATCAGCGTAGTCGATTCTATAAGATGGAGTTGAAAAAGATAAGGAAAAGATCGTTGATAAGGATAAGATCATTTTGAAGAGGTCACGGGCAACTGGTGATGTTCCCCTAGGCTCAAGCAATGAACTCAAGCAAAGGGGCAACTTGTAAGCCAGATATTTAAATGTTTAAGTAATAGATAGCCTAAAAATCCTTCCTTATCAAGTGTTGAACTTGATTGACTCTGTAGTTCATAATCTCTGATATAAGTAGTTCAACTTTGACACAAATTTTCTCTATCTTCTTGCACATGAGTATACCAAATAAATTGCACTTTTCTATAACCAAATTTAATAAGGATCATTTTAAAACCAACCTTAAGTCGATCTGATAATTGGAAGTCGAATTATAGAGTAGAATAGAAGAGTGCGCTAAAGTGCCATTTTGACTATAGATGACTCTTCAAGACGGCTTTTCTCTATGTTTTTATCAAAGAATAAACAAAACAGATTCCACTTTTCCTTAGTCAAATTTAATGAGGATTCTTTTAAAAGCAATCACACGTTGATTCAACTTCTACATCTTGAGTTATAGGCCATCTAAGTTGATTAACTCTTCCAAGTAGGTAGTTCAACTTTGAGGCAAATTTTCTCTATGTTTTTATATCTGAGCTTACAAAACAACTTCTACTTTTCTATAACCAAATTTAATAAGGATCATTTTAAAACCAACCTTAAGTCGATCTGATAATTGGAAGTCGAATTATAGAGTAGAATAGAAGAGTGCGCTAAAGTGCTACTCTTCAAGACGGCTTTTCTCTATGTTTTTATTAAAGAAAAAACAAAACAGATTCCACTTTTCTTTAGTCAAATTTAATGAGGATTCTTTTATTCGAATTCAATTGCAATTCAATGACAATTCAATGACAATTCAATCGCAATTCAATCACAATTCAATCGCAATTCCTCCATTTTCAGATATTATCAATGGGTTCCATTTGTGCTTGCTCTTGAAGCTCTCCTCTTCTATGTACCGACAATCGTTTGGCGATTACTCAGTTGGCAATCTGGTGAGTGTTTTGAAAGAAAAAGAGATTGGCAAATGAAATAAAGAAGAAGAAGGAGGAGGAGGAGGAGAAGAAGAAGGAGGAGGAGGAGGCAAGTAAAGAAGGCAAGAAAGGAAAGCAAGTAAAGAAAGTAAGTAAAGAAAGTAAGTAAAGAAGGCAAGTAAAGAAGTGAAGGAATTGAAGGAAAGTTGAGAGCATTTGAGCTCTAATTTTATGACTTTGTCCAATCCAATCCAATCCAATCCAAAGTTACCCTAAATCTCCTCTAGCATTTTCTTTTATGCTGAATTTAAAGAGACAAACGTAAATGCAAATTTAAAAGAGATTTAACGTAAAAAGAGCTTTAACGAAAACCCTTTTCTTATCAAAAAATCAAAATTTTTCTCTGTCACAACTGTGCTTTAAAATGGTGCTTTAAAATGGAAAAAATTCAAGTTTTACAGCAAAAAAAACCTGGAGAAGAAACTTGAAGAAGAGACTTGAAGAAGAGACTTCTTTACTTGCTTTCTTTACTTCCCTTCTTTACTTGCTTTCTTTACTTCCCTTCTTTACTTCCCTTCTTTACTTCCCTTCTTTACTTGCTTTCTTTACTTGCTTTCTTTACTTCCCTTCTTTACTTCCCTTCTTCTTCTTCTTCTTTATTTAACTTGCTTAAAGGCTCCGTTTTCGGAAAACAATAGTTTTCCGCTTCGTAAAGCGCTAAAGAATTAACGAATCTCATATTAACCTAAAAAACAATCTCCATCATTTTTCATTCAACCCAAATTCAACTCAAAATCTTGACATAATCATTCCCGTTTTGAACACCAAAATTTCCAAACCATCACCCCTCTTCAAAACTTCAAAACTAATTACCTAACCAAGCCATTCCTGTTTTTCTTACAACCAAGCCATTCTTTCAACGTCATTCGATTCCATTTTGACTCATAGACAAAGTTTTTCTCTTTTTTCAAGAGCTCGATTTTCCGCTTTTTCCTCGTTTTCCTCGTTTTGCTCGTTTTTTTCTTGCTCTCTCTTGACTTTTCATGAAGAAGCGACATGTGAGAAGCTCTATTTTTGTTTTTTCTTTTTTTTTCTCGAATCTTTCTTCTCCCCGGAGCTTGAAGAGCCGGAAAGCGAAAAAAAGGGATGCAAAAAATAGAGGATCAGATTTCGATGTACTTAGAAAAGTGAATTGATGTTTTCTTTGGAAAACAGCAAAAAAATTCTGACGAGAGTGGGATTCGAACCCACGCCTCCGAAGAGACCAGTGCCTTAAACTGGCGCCTTAGACCACTCGGCCATCTCGCCACGTGCAGGGGGTCTCTCCATTTCGCCTAAAGATGTCGATGAGTCGAAAAATGGGATTCTTTGGGGTAAATAAAGAGGGTAGTTTACCTATTATATATAAAGGAGAAGAGGCGTCTGTCCGTCCGTCTGTTGCCATCGACAGAAGAGACGTCTGTCCGTCCATCCGTCTGTTCCACGACAGGGACGCTATCCGTCCACCTCTGTTGCCATCGACAGAAGAGACGTCTATCCGTCCATCCGTCTGTTGCCATCGACAGAGAGACGCTATCCGTCCATCCGTCTGTTGCCATCGACAGAGGAGACGTCTATCCGCCACCGTCTTTGCCATCGACAGAAGAGACGTCTATCCGTCCACCTCTTTGCCATCGACAGAAGAGACGTCTATCCGCCATCCGTCTGTTGCCATCGACAGAGGAGACGTCTATCCGTCCATCCGTCTGTTGCCATCGACAGAAGAGACGTCTATCCGTCCATCCGTCTGTTGCCATCGACAGAGGAGACGTCTATCCGTCCATCCGTCTGTTGCCATCGACAGAAGAGACGTCTATCCGTCCATCCGTCTGTTGCCATCGACAGAAGAGACGTCTATCCGTCTGTGCGTCTGTTGCCATCGACAGAAGAGACGTCTATCCGTCTGTCCGTCTGTTGCCATCGACAGAGGAGACGTCTATCCGTCCATCCGTCTGTTGCCATCGACAGAAGAGACGTCTATCCGTCTGTCCGTCTGTTGCCATCGACAGAAGAGACGTCTATCCGTCTGTCCGTCTGTTGCCATCGACAGAGGAGACGTCTATCCGTCCATCCGTCTGTTGCCATCGACAGAAGAGACGTCTATCCGTCTGTCCGTCTGTTGCCATCGACAGAAGAGACGTCTATCCGTCCATCCGTCTGTTGCCATCGACAGAAGAGACGTCTATCCGTCTGTGCGTCTGTTGCCATTGACAAAAAGGGGCGAGGCTTAGAAAGCCAACTTTAGTAAGCGTTTTCTGCTGCTTAGTTTCTGACATTTAACTTGCCGAGATTCTGCTTCTGATCGACTGATCATCGAGCACTCTACTTCACTGATCGAGCACTCTACTTCACTGAACATAATCACTCCTCAAAAGTTGTCAGCTTCTTGCTTAACCGAGTTGAATCACTGTCGATTTATAACGGACAAGTAGCGATTCTCAATTCACTAATGGTGTCCTCTTCCCAATTTTGAGCCATCTTCCCTATTCTCTTCCCAATTTTGACTACATTGATCAGATTTTGATCAATTTTGACCAGATTTTTGATTATTCCACCTTGTTTCCTCTCTAGTTCAGCCTTGTTTCAATGGGGATCTTCATCGTCGATTCGGTGGAATAGCCCGTAAGGAAAAGAAAGAGAAAAGAAGAAAAAGAAGGGCCACATTTGGAAAAAGAAGGGCCACATGGAGCCTTTGAATGAAAAAAAAAGAAAAAGAGATAAAAGGTCTAACTCTCTTTTTCTCCTTTTACGTTGTCGAAAAAAAAATTGAATCGCTCTTTCTTTCTCTTCCTTTTTTCGCACTCTATAGTGAGGAGGGAATAAATTTGCCCGAGGATGAGGGTTACCTCTTTGCTCTCTTTGCTCTCTTTCCTCTCTTTCCTCTCTTTACCCCTTGCCCATTCCACACAACCAACCACAAGCAAGTCTAGAAGAGGTTGAGGTGATAAAGAAGATCAAAGATAAAGAAGGTATCAAAATAGGGTATTAAAGGCCTCAAAGAAAGCAATATTCCGATAGTAAACAGATACAAATTATCGTCGGATACAAATTTCTCAGTTTTTTGTTTTAAACCTTTCAGTTGAAGTGAACAAAATATCGGCTTTGATAAGGCTTGAAGGAGAAGATAAGGCTTGAAGGAGAAGATAAGGCTTGAAGGAGAAGATAAGGCTTGAAGGAGAAGATAAGGCTTGAAGGAGAAGATAAGGCTTGAAGGAGAAGATAAGGCTTGAAAAATATTCTAGGTATTCTAGGGGTTCATCTCCTATATTCTAGGTATTCTAGGGACTCATCTCCTATATTCTAGGTATTCTAGGTACTCTAGGGGCTCATCTCCTATATTCTAGGTATTCTAGGGACTCATCTCCTATATTCTAGGCATTCACGTGCAATCATTGGTGCAAATGGCATGCGATTCGCGATTATTGGATGCTGATGGCAGGAAAAGAGCATTGGAAACGATAGCGAATAATGTTGAAGAAGCATTACATGTCAAACATCAAGTGGTGAGTGAAAAGGAGGGCTTTAAGTCCAAAAATCAATCAGGAAGAATAAAAGAAGTGTTGGAATTGGGAAGAAAAAGAAGATTTCCGGACAGGGGATCGAACCCTCGAGCTTTCGCTTTCCGACCGCCACCGCTCTATCCACTGAGCTATCCAGTCCCTTAACTAGCGAGAGAAAAAAGGAAACACAAGGGACAAGAAGCCAGGAAGAAGGAAAAGTTATGCTTCAAAAGTTCATTGCTAGAATGTGTCCTTGAGTCTTGGCTACCGTAATCTTGTCTTCTTAATCCAATCATTTTTCTCAAATTCTTCTAAAATCAACGAAAAACTAGAAAATAGACAAAACTACAGTAGTTTTTGAGAAGTTTTCAGACGTTTTTAGACGTTTTCAGCAGTTTGCAGTAGTTCACACATTTTAGAAGGCAGAAGGCCTTGTAGAAGGCCTTGTAGAAGGCCTTGTAGAAGGTCTTGTAGAAGGCCTTGTAGAAGCCCTTGTAGAAGGCAAACATTCAATAGAAAAAGCATTTGTTTTAAATTTTCTTCATTTTCTTTTAAATCTTTCATTTCATTTCTTTCATTTTGTGATTTCAATCAAATATTTATCAATCCAGACTAGACAAGGACCAATTTTCAACAAGGTAAATCGTTTCTTTTCCTAAAAACAACGACAAAGTCGAGTTTGCTAGCAAAGTCAAGTTTCGGCTATCCCAAAAAGATGATTTTCTTCCCCAAAAAGCCATATCGAAGCCATATCGAAGCCATATCGAAAAAGCCAACACAAAAATCGCTTTCTTTTTGAGTAAAATGAGTTATTCTATTGATTTTAAGTTTGATTTTAAATGTTTAAAGTTTGATTTTAAATGTTATATTAGTTTAAACGATTTATTGGTTTAAATGTTTTATTAGTTTAAATGTTTTATGAGTTTAAATTTTATAATATCACTTTCAGATGTCTGGCAATCGTTTCAAACTGCTCAATTTGATCATTTGCACTCGATCATCGGGCGCTGCCGTCACGTTTCTCTATATTTCTGTGAGAGTTTTTTTTTAGAGAAATTCCTCTAGATTTCCTCTAGATTTCTACTTTCTATTGATAAAATATGGATAAGTAAAGTTTAAATGCTAATTTAAATAGGGATTTCAATGGGGTTTCAATGGGGATTTCAATGGGGTTTCAATGGAAATTTCAATCCAAATTTTGATCTAAATTTTGATCTAAATTTTGATGCAGATTTGCAGAGAGAATCCAAATTCCGATGCAGATCTCAATCCAAATTACAATCCAAATTTGAATCTCCAGATCTCAATCCAGATCTCAATCCAGATCTCAACCCAGATCTCAATCCAGATCTCCCCAGATTCACAGATCTCAATCCAGATCTCAATCCAGATCTCAATCCAGATCTCAATCCAGATCTCAATCCAGATCTCAATCCAGATCTCAACCCAGATCTCAATCCAGATCTGAATCCAGATCTCAACCCAGATCTCAATCCAGATCTCAATCCAGATCTGAATCCAGATCTCAATCCAGATCTCAATCCAGATCTCAATCGATCTCAATCGATCTCAATCGATCTCAATCCAATCATCCAAGTTTACATCAATCACCAAAATCTACAATCAAAATAAAGCTAACTATTCACTCATTTTCAGGTAAAAATTTTGTATACGGTGAACATCATTGGGCAGATCTTTTTGCTCAACACATTCCTAGGCAATCGGAGTCGATGGTACGGATTGCAGGTGAGTTTATTGATGGATAGAAAGAGAAGAAGATAGTAATATTCAATAGTCTACTATAATGATCTTTTAAAATCTCCTTTTCATTCAGGTACTAAACGATCTGATGAATGGACGCGAGTGGGAAGGTATAAAAACAATAAATTTTATTTATCAGAACAAATATTTTAGAGTCGGGTCACTTCCCCCGTGTTACGCTTTGTGATTTTGAAGTTAAAGTGAGTATTGGTTTCGAATTATTTAAAATTATTTCCATTTATAAGCCTTTCTTCTTAAAATTAGCCGAAAAATCCGCTTAATGGCTTTTCTTGCTTAGCGGTTTTTCTTTCGGGGAAGTGTCTGACGCCGTGGCGCAGTCGAGAGCCCGCCTGTCTACGGATTACACGAGCCGGGTTCGATTCCTGGATGTTTCACTCAGCTTCGATTTTTTTAAAATACAGGCAGATAGACTGACAGCAAAGATAGACAGACAGATAAACAGACAAACAGACAGACAAACAAACAGATAGACAGACAGACAAACAGGCAGACAGACAGTGCTCTTTTATATAGTCTGTATCACATCATCTGGACCACCTAAATACATAGTTTCTTAATCCCCTCTAACCTTGATGAAGTTCTTTTTTTCCTTGAAGTTTCTTGATGATTTTCCCTGTCAAACAACGTATAAAAACCTTGTTTTTGATTGTCGACGCAACAATTTTAAAACTCAAAAAGATAGGTGAATGTCACATCATTTAGACCATTCGATTTTTCCGTCTTGTTTTAATGCTGGTAACTTTGAACCAATCTTTTGCCATTATCGTCTGTGCAAATGCGAATCTAGCATCCTTATGCTCTTGTTTTAATGCTGATTACTTCAACAACTTTTCCTTGGTGCTCGTTGTTTAAATAGATCGCCAAATTGTCATTTTGGAAACATATTGGAATATTGGAAACATCAAGGTTGAGCTCTTTTTTTTTTGACTTGAGATATCGATTTTTCATGAATGCTATTAGCAATTTGACTGACATCTCAATCAAAAAGCATTCTGTTAGTTTTTTTTCCATATTGATTCGAGTTTTCAAGGTATCTAGCAATCGTTTGATGAGAAGATTTCACTTTTATAGTCATTTTTTGATTAAAGGATTAATTTTAGAGGATTAATTTGGCTTTTTTGATAATCGATTATCGATTGATAATCGATTAGCGATTGATTATCGATTAGCGATTGATTATCGATTGATAATCGATCCAGGAGTTGTCATTTACCTAAAAAGTTAAATATTACAGTGGTAGAGAAGAAAATTAAGTAAAAAGCAAAGCAACAAAGAGGGAAAACTAATGATCCAGATGATGTGATACAGACTGTAGAATCGAGTACACTAGAAAGTACACTAGAAAGTACACTAGAAAGTACACTAGAAGTTACACTAGAAAGTACACTAGAAAGTACCCTAGAAAGCTTGTGTTTCAAAGCTTTCAAGCACAAAGTACATTCTGAAAAATTGGCTTGCAAAAAAGACTCAAGGCTTGCAAAGAAAATGATCGAGTACACTGTACAACGTAGAGTACAACGCTCAACTGTACAACGTAGAGTTGTACAGTTGAATGAATCATCGTTGAACAAATCATAGTTGAACAAATCATCGTTGAACGAATCAAAACCAAACTTTCCCATTTAAGGTGTTGGGCAATGTGCACCGTCACACCGTGCAATGTGTCTTGATGATCAATATGTTCAACGAGAAAATCTTTCTTTTCCTTTGGTTTTGGTATTTTCTCCTCGCTGGGGCAACGATTTGTTCCCTATTTTATTGGATCTATATCTCCGTCGTCCCGAGTCGGTAAGTCAAGCTAAAAACAAATCACTTTCTTGTTTAAAAACCATTTTAATCTTTAATCTTTCAGCTTTCATCAAAACTTTAATCAAAACTAAAGCCAAAATTCTTTTTGCAGACAACTCAATTTTGTCGGCAAATATCTGACGGGCATCGAGGGCTACAAAATGGTCGACTCGCAGTCACTTCGACGTTTCGTCTTTCACTTTTTACGCCAAGATGGAGTTTTTCTACTGAGGTGAGGGAGGGAGTCATTCCAGTCATTTACTATAGACATTCCAGTCTACCGTAGGATAGGATTCCTACCAGTCTACTGTAGAAATGGGGAAAATTCCAACTCGAACCTAATTCCACCTTCGTTTTCTCAGCCGTCTCTCCACCGATTGCTCTGAAATTTTGTCTACAAATACAAGGCATTCTCTGCTTGTATACAAAATTTGAAAAATTGACCAAGAATCAACCAAGAATCGGCCAAAGATTGGCCAAGAGACCGACGCCGACGCCAAAGATGGCCAGAGCAGGGGGCGCAGCGCCAAAGATGGGGCAGTTGGCAGGACGCAGTCGGGGGCCAAGAGATGGCCAAGAATTGGCCAAGAGACAGTCAAGAATCAGCCAAGAATCAGCCATGAATCGGGCAAGAATCGACCAAGAATTGGCCAAGAATCGGGCAAGAGACGGTCAAGAATCGGCCAAGAGTCGACCAAGAATCGACCAAGAATCGGGCAACAGATGGCCAAGAATCGGTCAAGAGTCGACCAAGAATCGACCAAGAATCGGGCAAGAGTTGGCCAAGAATCGGCCATGAATCGGCCCTGGATCGGCCATGAATCGGTCATGAATCAGCCAAGAATCAGACAAGAATCGGCCAAGAATCGGCCAAGAAAACGAAGGTGAAATTAGGTTTGGGTTTCCCATGTCGGAACTTTCCCATGTCAAGTACTAGGCTTTGTAATTAGTTTTATGTTTTATCTTGTTGTTTGTAGGGTCTATCTCTATAAAGTATGCTTAATTAATCAAAAAAAATATTCTTATAAACGTTATAAACAAAAAGCTTTTGTTTAAAAAAGGTTAAACAAAAAGGTTAAACAAAAAGGTTAAACAAAACAAAAACTTTTTTCAGAATGGTTGCCACCCATGCTGGTGAGTTGCCATGTTACGATTTGGCGAAGAAACTCTGGGAGAATTACTGTGATAACAAAGAGGGAAAGATGCATGATGTATAGAAGAAAAAGGAAAAGAACGAATTGTAGAAGAAAAAGGAAAAGAAACGAATCAATCGATCAACATCTAATATTTATATTTATTTTTCAAAACAAATTCTGTTTTTCTTTTAAAACTTTGAACACCGGTGCCCTTGGATGGAAAACGGTAGGGGATTTTGGCTATTTTGAATTGAATTTTGGCTATTTTGGCTATTTTGGCTATTTTGAATTGAATTTTGGCTATTTTCGAATGGTTTTAGAATAGAAAAAAAGAGGTATAGGGATTGCTAAGAGGTGTAGAACGAAAAAATGTCGTATCTCAGTTGATTTCACTCGAATTTTCTCGATTTTTACATGATTTTATGCAGAATTTAATCTAATTTTGTTTAATTTCATTGAATTGGATTGAATTTCGTTTAATTTCGTTTAATTTAATTCAATTTCTAATTTCTATCGATTCAAATCAAAAGAGACAAAAAGATTGAAGTGAAAATGGCGAAAATTTCGTGTCCGATTGATTGACGACTCATTTTTCCGTGTCCTATTGACATTTACATCGAAAATTCCTAGAAAAACGTTGGGCTTTATCAATGGAAACTGACAATACAGCTTTCTCAGCTTTCTGAGACACAGCTTTCTGACAACCCATTATAGCTGACATTCTGACATTAGCTTATTAGCTTTCTGACAACCCAGTTCTAACTGACAACCATTATATAGAACTGACAATATAGAAATGACAATATAGAAATGACAATATAGAACTGACAATATAGAAATGACAATATATTGGGTTGGGGACTAAGACTCGGCGCCGAAAATCAAAAAAATTTCTAAAACTTCTAGCAGACTTCGTCAAATAATACGCGTTTGATATCAGTAGAAAAGTTAGCTAATTCTCTACAAAATGACATTTAAAAGAACTCAAACCGCGCCCAGCCAAGAAAAGGCCATTTTCACAAAAACTACAAAGGTCATCTAGAAAAACGGTTGGAGGGATCTTCCTGCAAATTTGGCAACTTATGTATTGAATGTGCTCTATCTTTTTACATAGACACCGAAGAAGGTTATGGAAGAAACTGTTCAAACGAGAGTCGGACTCTTTGCCATTTGATCAGCTGCGTTTGAAAGTTCAAAACTCCACGAAAGAAAAGCTTTGTGGAATCTCTCAAAAGTCATTTTGTAGAGAAATAGTGGATCCTTTTGATGAAAGAAAATGTATATTTAAAGAAGGCTTTATGCGTGCAAAAAGTGTCTTTAAAGTTTGCCGCTGAGTCATAGTCCCCAACCCAATAGAACTGACAATATAGAAATGACAATATAAAACTGACAATATAGAACTGACTATTTCAGGAATACTATAGCTTATGCCATAAACTCCAGCAGAAATATTTAACATTTTTTTTTAAGGTAATTCTCTGGGTTAAGCTAGGTTAAATAGGACTTCTACTGGTTGGATTGAGCTCGTTTTTCTCTAGCTCTAGCTCTAGCTCTAGCTCTTCAGTAACTCTAGCAATTCCAGTAACTTTTTCTAGTTAACACTGAGTAAAACAAATGAGTAGAATTACGAAAACTAAACATTTCCTCGTCTTCCATCCTCTCTACCGTACTCTTTTCTCAATCTCTTATTCATTTTTTTCTTCATTTTACCGCTCAAGAGCTTCCGGAGAATTTCGCAAAAAAAAAATTTTTTCAGAAAATTTTTTTATTTTTCTTTTTTTATAAATCTGTGCTCTGAAATCTTCAATTTTTTTATATTTTTATTTTTTTTTAAATTTTAGGGGTTTTTCTATCAATTTTCTTCGTTTTCTTCGTTTTCTTTGCTTCAATTTTCTTTGTTTTTGGGGGTGGGACAAATGCGACCTTTTTTTTTGCGCACCTGGACATTTGCGCACTTTTTTTTTGCTGGAAAAGGCCTTAGGAAAGGTCGTAGAGCTTCAAAAATGTTTCCATATAAGGGAATCGTATGCGTAGATTCCGAATTTCAACAAATCAGACCTCGCTAGCACGTCAAATTTGAGCTAAAAGGGAAAAACTGCGGAAAAGCCTTAAGTTGCGTAGGTTTTGCCTTTTAGCCCAAATTTGACGTGTCAGCGAGGTCTGATTTGTTGAAATTCGGAATCTACGCATACGATTCCCTTATAGGGGAATATTTTCGAAGCTCTACGACCTTTCCTAAGGCCTTTTCCAGCAAAAAAAGGTGCGCAAATGTCCAGGTGCGCAAAAAAAGGTCGCATTTGTCCCATCCCCTTGTTTTCTTTGTTTTTGGTTGTTTCGAAGAAGGTATTCAATTTTAAAAAAGGGTATTTTCTGAAAAATATTACGAAAAAAAGAAATTTTTGGAGAAATTTTGAAAAAACTTTGCAAAAAACTTTCAGAAAATATCAAATTTCACTTATTTTTAGGGAAATTTTAATTATAAATCAATAAAACTGCCATTATTTTTGAAGAAATATCGAATCTAAATGAAATCTAATAAATCTAATAAATCTAATGAATCTAATGAATCTAATAAATCTACACTACTGGACAATGAAATATGATATTTGCAAAAAAGATCGTCACTTTCGCGCGTCTGTAACTCCATTGTCTTGACCGTATTTCGAAATATTAATATTACCATTGTGTAGCCCTTGAAAAGAGCTTTCAGAAAATGTATAACACTAATAGTTTAAACTCAAAGACAAGCGAGTTACAGACGCGCGAAAGTGACGATCGAAAAACGATCGTTTTTCAGCTATGATATTTCATTGTCCAGTACTGTATCTAATCTAATAAATCTAAATGAACTCTAATAAATCTAAAATAAAGGTTTCTTTAAAAAAAAATCCCCTTTCGCCAGCCAATTTCGAGTCTTTCAGGGTTCAAAAAATTTGAAATTCCCTTCTGAAAACTCATTTTTTTTTTTTTAGACTCTCTTTCCCTTTTAAAGATATTCAAGCTTTCCCCCCTTTAAAGATATTCAGGCTATGCATAAAATTGCCATTAAATGCCATTAAATGAAATCTTTTAGCTGAATGTTTAGCTGAAAATTTAAGGAATTTGTGAAATTTTTCGTTTTTTATGCTTTTCCGCTTTTTTTTTTTGATGATTTTGTGCTATTTCCATACACATTTCTAGTCGTTTTTTTTTCAGGTGCCCAAAGAATTTCTTTTGTTCATTTGTTTTTTGTTTTTTTGTATTTGCCATTTTTCTATTTGAATCTCAAAAGTTTACAAGGATTTTCGCTTGAAAATCAAGACAAAACGCGAATCGACAAGCTCAAGGCTGATGGTAGTCTGAAGCTAGTTGGAAGGCTGAAGCTAGTCTGAAGGCTGAAGTTGGTCTGAAGGCTGAAGGCAGTCTGAAGGCTGATGTCAGTCTAAAGGCTGATGTCAGTCTAAAGGCTGAAGTCAGTCTGAAGGCTGAAGCTAGTCTGAAGGCTGAAGCTAGTCTGAAGGTTGAAGTTAGTCTACAGGCTGAAGTCAGTCTAAAGGCTGAAGTAATCGCTTATCGACAAGCTCAATGATGTAAGCTGTTTTTTTGTGAGCTTTTTCTTGAAAAGGAAATTGGAATTTTAAAAGATAGGTATAGGAATAAAGTTTATAAAGAAAGCTTCCCTGGAAAGCTGTTGCAAAAGAGCTATTGCAAAAAAGCTCTTTCAAAAGCTGTTGCAAAAAGTTGCAAAAGCTGTTGCAAGAAAGCTAACGCCAAAAAAGCTATTGCAAGAAAGCTATTGCAACAGCTATTCCATAAAAGCTATTCCAAAAGAGCTATTGCAAAAAGCTCTTGCCAAAACTCTTGCTCTTGCTCTTGCCATTCGATAAACACCGTTCATCATGATCTTCAGCTTCTCGAGAAACGTTTTGTCTTGCTTTCCACCCGAAAATCCTTTCCCTTTTCCCTTTTCAATTGAATGTAAAATTGGCATAAAAATCTTTTGTAAAACCCTATTTTAAAGAGCTTTTTTTCAATGAAATTTTGTTAAATTATCCTCAAAATCTGCCAGAATTTTTTCTCTTTTTCATTTTTTATTTGCCAAAAGATTTTCTTGATGAATTTTCTATTTTAAACTTTTTTTTTCTTTTTCTTGATGATAAGATTTATGTTGTGCAAATAAAATAACGTTTATATTTGTCATTATTTGAAAGAAGGAGAAGAGGAAGAAGAGGAAGAAGAAGAAGAAGAAGAGGAAGAAGAAGAAGAAGAAGAAGAGGAAGAGAAGAAGAGGAAGAAGAAAAGAAAGGAAGAAAAGAAGAAGAAGAAGAAGAAGAAGAAGAAGAGGAAGAAGAGGAAGAAGAGGAAGAAGAGGGAGAAGAGGAAGAAGAAGAAAAAGAAGAAAAAGAAGAAGAAGAATTCACAAAAAGCATGATTTTAGATCAAGAAAAACAACTCAATAAAGCAATTATTCTTAGACCTATGTTCTTGATTGACACTGAGAATCGAGAGAATAATATAGATACTTTATTCAGCACCTGAGATCAAGTGCGCTAGATTTAAGAGATAAAATGCGCTACACATAACACGAAAAGGGCCTCGATAAAAAGCAACACGATATAATGTATGTAATAGATGGATGGTAATAGATGGGTATACGTCAACGATCCACTAGAGCTTCAAGATCATCAAGAATATATGCTAGTGGGGGATTTGAGTGTTGAGCTTCTGGGAAAAGCTTGGGAACTGTAAAATGGCCGTCACTCGCCCGGGCGGGGGGGGGGGGGGGGGGGAGGGGGGGGGAGCCTTTTTTTTCCAATATGCCGGGCGCGGGGGGGCGGCCTTCCCCCGCGCCCCGCGCCCCCTACTCCCCCGGCCGGCCGGCCCGGGCTCCCGCCCGGCGGGGGGGGGGGAGGGGGGGGGGGGGATCTAGTGGGGGATTTGAGTGTTGAGCTTCTGGGAAAAGCTTGGGAACTGTAAAATAGTGATCAACTCGGCTTGGCGGGATGACGACTATTAGAGAAAATACGGTAACTCAAAAAGAAATCATGTGGCGATCGATGTGGTCACGGTGATCTGTTTTCTTGTAATCCAACGATCCC